CACAGAATGTTTTATGCAAAAATCGAGGGGAATTTCCCTGCCTTGACGACTTGCGTTTAGAACAATGCAAAAACGGAAAAAGTACACGAAATGCTTCTAACAGGAATTTTATTCCTGAAATCAAAATTTAGGCCATACTTCACATAACATTGATTTTTGGGGGACACTTAACTCAAATTTTAAGCAAAAAGAACGGTTAAACACGGAAATCGGGAATTGCCCGTACTACGCATGGCCTTGCGTCGAGACCAAAGAAGGCACCTACTCCCATTACCATACCTGCTAGCAATAACTATCCTAAAACTAGCCCTGACCTCCCTGCAATTTAGGACAAATCCGCCTGTGATAAAAAGGGGCCATGTTGCCGTGTTCATCCAGGAAAACTTTTTAAGCAATAATTGACTTGTGTCGATTTATTTACTCACCAATTTTTAAGGACCGGCCTTACCTTATACTTTCAACAAGGTAAGTTCGCTAATTTGAAACAAACTTTAACATCTTTGGAATATCCGCTTTCCATGGGAATATTGAGATTTATGAACAGAATTGTCTGTACATTCATTTGGCTGAAAGCGGTCGTTGCTGATCTGATGTCCTATGCGTTTAAACTAGTGTCCGATTAATCAGATAGTTGCTTTGTTAATTTAGATATATTGCATAAATTATGTCAGGTGCTGCACGCGCAAGTGAACGATTACCTAAATTGCAGTCTAAAGCCCCAGGGCTTTTAAATTTAACCAAAAAATTGCTTCTATATGCTTTTCCTGTGCGCAGACCACATGGTCTAGTTTAAGAATATTTAACAGAAGAAGTCACATGTCTGGTTTTTGTCTTGGATGCGACTACAATGGAGGAAAAAACAACTCCAAACTATTAGGATCGTGCCAATTTAATAAAGTCCCTCAAACAGACATATGCAAAGAATAAAAACAGACTTCCCGAATTGCGAGGAAAATCACCAGTTATGCTGTGGAAGCCGTTACTTTGGCAATTCTCATTTGCGTTTATTACGAGTTCTAATCTTAATAACAAGTTTTGAAAAGTAAAAATAAATATAATTACAAATCAAAATCTAAAGTTATGAAGACAAATCTTGGTGAGAGAACCCCAACGAATATGTTTAAACTCGTTTGACAAACCTTTTTGTCGGTTATTGAATATTTGGGAAATCAAAAACATTTTTCGTCATTTTTGGCCGTAAAAATTGATATATGTTTATGATACTCTAAGTATTTTGGTTAGGCCTGCTTTCAGAGCAAGGTCTTCAATTGGTGACCGATCGTGTAAATATGCAGAAAAGTGTAAAAGATGTCCCAACATTGCAGATGTTTGCATGATTTTGTGAGCTCAGCTTCCTTGTCTTAACAATGCTTAGATTTTGTTACAAAACTGCCTTTTTACTTCTGGGACATTATCGTAACAACAGGTCCGGCTTACATATCGTTCTCACAAATGATACGTCGCTTTTAATCATCAAGTACCCTTTATAATTATAAAATATATCAAAAAATTTATGTTTTCCATTTTCCAAATGTTTCTGCAAGATTATTATCACAATCAACCATTTATAAATGCCTAACCAACACATCTGAAGACAATCATAAAATTCGGTCCGAATGTTAGACAGGTAGGCAAGTCTGCTGGTGAACCTTTTAAGCAAATCTTTAGTTACGAGAATGCTTACGAAAGCAGATACCATTTAATTTTAGTATGCAGGAAGATCGAGCACGACTTCGTGTATGAGAATTTCAAATCATTCTAAGGAGTACATGGAGTCCAAATCGAGGATATCAATGCGTCATAGTATTACAACACCAATACCCAAGTATCCTCCCTTTACTTGACTCATGGTAGTTGAGTCTACGGGACAAGTATGGGCTCGTCAATATTAACTCAAGTCTTCACGTGACCGGCAGAGCTGCCACTTTACAAAAGTTTTACATTTCTGCCTTTCTGTTGGAGTGTTTATCCAAAATACTTTATTTAATAAAATTGCCATAGTACCAACAGGCGCCAGTACTGATTTTGAAGTGGTTTGCAGGCGGTCGCATAAGGGCTAGAAAAAAATTTCTGAGAAGTGCCAGCGCACAGTAAGGGTTACTGGCATGAAAATGTCTGTAGTACCCTGTGTAAACAGCCAACCGAATTATTCTGCATAGTTTTGAATTTTCTATTAAAAGTGCAAACTGGCATTTCCATGGATATCTGCTTGGTTTTCCCAGAAAAACGTGATGACTGTTTTTGACCGATCTTAGAAAAGCTTGATACACCATAAGAACCTCAAAACTGAGCACAGTTGTGTTTAACTTTTTCATTTTTTTATCCTTCTCAGAGTCTTCGTGGATCTCTTCCAAAAGGACAGAATTTGTGAACCGCTTTTGCAAGTCGCACTAATTTTTCGGCGGAACACCTAAGTTTACATCGACTGAGGCAATCGGAATTTTATGGCGTATTCATAAACAAATTAATTTTATTGAAAATGTCGGCTATTTACATTCCAGCTGCTAAAACCACATTTGCACTGAGACGTCTTGTATTTAAAACCTTGTTCAACTTGCTCAACATTTCGGGAGTTAAATGAACAAAATAAAACTGTCAATTTCGCGACGCAATGTCAAAAAAATTGCAGACGAGGGTCGACCACTTTGAATAAAACACACTACTGCGGTGTCCAACAGCCAGATCTAAGCTCCAACTTTTCGGTATGATGTTTCGTTTAAAAAGAGTTTCTGTTTTCAAAGAAGACAACTTCACGTGCTCTAAAAATGGAAGTGATATATGACGAAGACAAATAGGCATGTGAAATGTACTCTGATATATAACGATGCGCACGCATTTTATTATCTTGTCCCTAAAGAATTGTTAATAAGTTTAAAAGACACGTGGAGCATATGACGGTCGTTTCTATACAGTCACGGTCATGTTGCAAGAAAATATCCTTGTGTTCATATGTTGACCTGTAAGCCGTAGTGCTGATAAACAGGGACGCAAATTTACAAAAAACGAGCAGAGGAGAACTGACAAAGTCTGCAGTATTTGTATCTACGAAAAGCTAACAACAGGTATAAAGGCAGGTATAAACTGCCTACATTTGAGCACATGTTGGCAGTTATCCACATGAGGTGGGCGTCTTTCAGTTATATCACAAGTGTGTAGACGGTCACATGAAATTAGTGGAAATAATGCAGTCACACAAAGACGCAACCCAAGAACCCAATCTGACAAACGTGCAGACGACAAGAAACAGAGAATATTACACAAAATAGCAATCCTACTTTATTTTACCTGATTCCTATGCATATGGGTAATGTGCTTATATTTTCCAATGTGTGCCGGAAACGATTGAAAGCTGTTCTTGTCCTAATGAAAACAAGATATTCAAGCAGTATCATATATGAAAATTTTGGCTCCCCCATCAGAATAAGGAAGTGCCTTCTAGTGTACAGTATTCTGCTTTACGCAGGGCTAAACAATAACCATAAGCATTGTAATTTTTTGCCTTTCGAATTAGGATCTCCGTTGAAACGGTATACCACTACTTCTATTTAACTTCTTTTGGACTAGAATTGGAGATTCGCCTACACGAGTACAAACTGATAACTCGGAGGACAGATTCAACGTTTCATCTTTCAACGCACAATGGAGAAACTGGCGAAAACTTCAATATTCAGGGCGCACCCATCTTAGGTCTGTACAGCCCAAAGACAGAAGGACTCATATTTGAGCTGTGACATTCAGGTGCCAAAATTATCAACAGGTATCTTAACCCTCCAAAGGTTCGTAAAGGTCAGCGCACAAAAGGAACAGGGCAAGACGGCCACAAAGAACTTAAAACGTCAACGGACAAGGTCCGACGAGAAACAAAATAAGCACCAGACCAAGCAGTCCCATCGGAGACCCAACTGCCCTTCATAGAGTTGATGATTCATAAGGCACGGTAGATATCAAGCTCCCCAAACCGCGAAAATATCGAGCCAGAAAAATATAAAATTGTCCAGCTCAAAGTCGACTAGGTCGGCAAGTAATTCGCACTCGTGCTCGGTTTTGTGCATATAGAACTTTGACAGAGGTGAGCCGATCAGACTCACCAAAATATCACCAATTCAATAATCTGACTCGGCGATTCTTTCTATTTTGTAAACAAAACTTCCTTCAGTAAGCTAAATGTTTACCCTCTTTGTTGCCAATAATTAGCCAAAAACAGTCATTACGACGTATTTTCGGCGTTTGCAAACACGTCAGCAACCTCTCCCTCAGCTGCATTTTTAGCTGTAGGAAAGGTCAGGTCATTAAAGCTCTTTATTTACTTTAACTGAGGAAAGCGTGCAGGTCAGACTTGAATAAGGATCTCCCTAAAATTTGCCAAAAAAATGAATCCAGTCAGAGATATTTAAACAAACACTGGGATGATAAAGTATGCGATCTGCAGTACAAAGTTTCGATTAGAAAGGTTATGTGTGTGCAAAACCTAGGTTACCATCGACAACCCATTCTTTCATTTATTCCGTGAAAATTTATTTCTCATGATCGAAATAAGTACAGCGACTGTCACTGGCTTTCCGGTTTCCCAAAAACCAAGCATTAACCATAAAACAACCAAAATAGGATGAATTATGCATAATACAAGGAGATGTAATATTTAATACATGTAAACTTGCATGGCAACATAGTATAACGCGTGTATTTCTGAACGTCCGCTAAACGTCAAACTTATTTTCCTTACTTTTGCATATTTGATACACATAAATTGCAAAAATACATACATGGCTGTCATCGCCCTGCTAATACCTTTATTTAAAACCTTTGAACTTAAACAAAATACGTAGTTCTGAAAAATATCAGCTGACTCATTAACTGAAATAATGCGCTTGGGGCAAGTCCTATAGCACTGTCATCAAAAAATGCAGAAATATAATTTCCCCTTGAAGTCGTCTGTTGAATAGCAAGATAAGTTGAAGTATATAAATTACGAGTATGAGACAAAAAAGTGATGGCGCGTTCTATGCGTCTCGTTGTGACTTATTACACCAGGTTCGAACCGACTGCACTGCACGTTTGCGAATATCTCTGTGCATAACACCAAAGATGAGGGGATTACAACATGAAGCTACTGCATAAAGGACCGACAGAAAAACGTAGATATTGGGCGAAGTTCCTCTGTCAAGGCCTTCTGAAAAAGAACGTGGGAGTGACCTCTTTGCATTCCCATAGGGCGACTGGTTCAGCGGAATCAGTGCAATCATCTCCTCCTCAACTCCAAGACCATCCAGATTGGTTTGGTTGACAGCTGACGGACAGTCTGCGGGGTCCACATTCGTTTTGTCCATCATTCGGATAAAACCGTAAGGCAGGTAGCCAGCCAGAAAGAGTAGAAATATGACTGCAAACATTTTAGTGATGCTGAGTTCCCTGGAAATGCGTCGCTTGTCCATGAGTCCAACAAGATTTGGACAACTGTTCCGCCTACGCAGTAAGCCAGCTAACTTTGTTTGGGGAGGTCGTTGAGGATAGAGCTCCGAGTTCTGGATTTCACTGATGGCGTCCGTATGAAGGTGGGACTGAGGTGGGTTCAGGTAATTGTCACATGACAATTCGTTAACCTTGAATGGTACTGACACTGCTGCAGGATTTGGCGGATATTCTGTCGTCCCTGATTTCAGTTGTATGGTGTCTTCGTAGAGGCTGGCAGAACAGTTAACACCCACGGCCGTAGCCTTTTTAAGCCGTCGCCCAAGATTCAAACCCTTTCTGCGTACGTGTATGAAAAGACTGGTAAATGATATCAGAACGATCACGCACGGTAGTATTACAGTGAGCACTAGGACGGCGATTATTCGTAGGCCCTCCGACTTCTTGTACACACAACGCAAAAGGAAGGGGGAGTAGAACATGACGGATCCAAGAAAACGAGTGATCCTAGAGGGTGCAGTCGCTGGTGGAACAGTGCTCGTACCGGTGTCCAGTTCTTCGAGAAATTTGACCAGAGAGATACTGTTGAAACAAATGCTCAGAGCCAGGGGCAGGAGGCGGCTTCCAACGACAACAAACCTTAGGTACACCTTTTTGTGCATGTGACGATAAAATATCCAGTGTACGACAATTACATAACGATGAATAGCTATGAAGGCGTGATGCCAGAGGCTAACACCCACAAAAATCATATTCGCCTCGGGCACAACAAAGCAGAGGAAGGTACCTACGAGCCATTGGCCAAAACAGTAGCTGTGCAGAACCAGAGACTGAACAAAAATGAGGTTAATAATATCGTTCCAACAAAGGCTCATGATGAGGGTGTTGATAAGGTTTTTCCTCATTTTATCCGAGCGCAACAAAAGCCAGATGATCCACGCGTTTCCCAGCACTCCAACTAAAAGGAAGATGGTCATAACAACGGAGGCCGCTGCTGTGGCCACTGAAGAGGGCTTCAAAAAGGCCACACATGGTATGTTAACCAATAACTTGCTCCCATTCATTTCGCGTTGTTCGTCGCTAGAAAAGGAAAAAAGCGCCAGCGGATCATAGTGTCGTGGGTTTTTACATCGCTTAAACGCAACACAGTTACATGTTTCCATACACCCGAAAGGGTACTGGATTATTGGATGGCGAAAGTAAGCGCGCATTGGCTGCCTCTTGTCCAATAAGAATGACTGCGAAGTAGACTGGACATTTACCTCGTGAAAATTACAGAGGTGTCATTAACTCGAGCAAACTGATAACAAAAATGCTTTTTTGTGGGAGCTGAAAACTCAAAAAGACTAAACGCGCTTCACTAGAAAAGTTCCAAGTGCCAACCTCCCTCCCTGTGATACTCGTTTACTGGCTGCATTATGGGTTAATCCCATTCGCTTTTTCATCTAAAAAATGCGTTCCCTGTTGCAAAGATAACTCCAGACTTTTTAAAATCAGAGTAAAGACAGATTTATTTCTGCCGTCCGGAAGAAACCATTAAAATTTCTTAGTCACCTTCTCGTGCATATAGAGATAGCGATCAGAAGCTGAGCATCTTCGAGATGTGGGAAACGTGTGTCATTTCCTCATGGTCATAAGTGAGAGAACATAATTTTCCAGTAATATCTTCTTCTCCCGACAGCAATACCACCTTGGCATATGAAACAACGGCTAAAGAGTTAAATTTTCTACGAAATTTAATATAAAACTATGACAAGCAAACTACCTGCCTTAATTCTTTTATTGCATTGAACGAATTTGACAAACGAAGTCCTCTGAAGACTTCATGTGCAAATGTTTCTGAAAAAAACTGATTTAGATAACTAAATCGGCGTTACTAAGTAATTATATAATAAATTTGTCATGGCCATGAAAGCACATTACGAAGTAAGCATTATAACAGCCCTATCGTCAGCTGGACAAACGAAAACGCTTGAAAAGGATTTTACAATGTCGAGTACTATCAAATATCGACAGATTGGAGCAAACAAACAGACTCATATGAAAAGGAGTTTAAGTATGTAGAAGCAACAGAAAGTAGCTCATATCAAAAATATGTGTAGATAGAACAACATTTTTTTCGAATTTGGAAGCAAAATATTTACAGTCCACTGAAAGGCACAAAAGAAGTTCCAAAAGATGATAAACTTTCGAATTTCCATAGAAAATCAACATTGCTTTCAACACCTTAGGTTTTAAAAACGAAACCTTCTAACGTCAAAAATGCAAAGCAAACTGAGAGCAAGTTTGTTAGTTGCGAAAAGAATTAGCAGCTCTATATTGGCTTTACTTTTGTGTTAATAAGACAAAATGATTTGTATGATGAAAACAAATTATACCATAAGTTCTTACTGCCTTAACACACGCACATACATACTGGTGCACAATCTGTCGTCAAAGGAACCGAAGAAGGAGTAAATACAAGTTTTATGGCATGAAGCCTCATTCACCACATTCGATATCAAACCTGTTAATGTGATTGCGATGGTAAAGTTGGTCATCTCTCAGACGAAGGCGGCGGTGGAGAAGAAGAACCTTATCAAATACCAGGTGTCGTCTTTCCTTATGGCTCTTAGGTCATGCAAAGCATTTCTCAAGGTCGAACAAGATGCACTTAAAGGACTCAGGGCCGACAAAGACATCGCTATCGCGTCCGTGAATATGGGGTGCACCATCGTCGTATTGGACAGAACAATCTACCTTTAGAAAGTCAGAAACCTACTGCAGGATCGTCAGCTTTATGTCCCATATGATACCAACTCCGTAGAAACTCTTCAGGCGAAATAAGCACGACACCGTTGGCACTGGGGATTTCAGATGCAAAAGCATCGACCGTCCGACACATGGCGAAAGCCCATGTGACTGTTTCGGCGTCTGAAATTTCTGACCGCTGGTTCAAACACCGCGATATGTTCGCCAACAAACATTTTGGAGTGACTTAAAAAGGTAACTGTCCTACCGAATAAGATCATGATATATTTTGATGTCATATCCCTCTTCACCTCTATTTTCCAGGATCTGGTGGTCGAGGACATCGAACTATTCTTAAAAACAAATAGAATAAAAGGGAGAGTTGCCTCGGACTCGCACAAGTCCTCTGGCTCATGGACTTCTATCACTGTAAGTCCATCACGCTTGAAGGAGAAGTCTACGAGAAGGTGAAAGGCGCACCAATGTGTTTGCCTTTTTCAGCACTCAAAGCCGAGTCAGCCCTACCGCGATTGGAGTCGCTGGGCTTCTAACATCGGAGACCGAAGTTCTGGGCTTGGCATGATGATGATACCTTCGTCATAATAAATCAGGATCTAGGGCTAAGATTCAAAGAACTCTTAAGCATCATATTCCCGGATATATAGTTAATGACGGGGGGAAGAAACAGTCAGACGGCCTCCCTCGAAGTCCCCATCGGCCATGAAGACTGCATTGGCTTAAAGATCAGATTGTTCAGGAGGACAAATGCCGACAAGTGTTGAATTTCAATAGAAACTGCCCAATCAGTCACAAACGCAGGGCGTAAGGACGCTATATCAGCGTGTTGATACGTGCCGTGATGGACCAGAAGATGAAGTTGCCTAATTATGGTACATCCAACGAGTGCTCAGTACGCAGACGATACGAGGAGCCAAACTGCACTGACCTCAAAGTTCGACGAGCGCTTTTGTACATCAAGAACATCGCCGCACGTCTTCATCTATTTCTGGCAATGGGTTAGGGTGAGAGGTCAAAAGTTGAAAAAATATCATGCAAATCTCTGATATCACTCCGATAAATTCTCCGATGTACCAACATGTACAGGAGCATCCGATCTATTTTCTTTGCCGAAGCTATCCCAGATTGAGGGACAGAGGTCGCGAACGGTCACACGGTCGTGTTGTGTCAAGACTGATTGCAGAGGTTACCGTCAGAAATGCAAATATATTGATGTGGCGTATTTTCGGACTTACTCTGCCTTCATTCAGCCAATCAAATTTCCGGTAAATACCAAATGCCTCTTGCCTTTTGACGTCGTAGCCTTTTATTATTTTCGACCACACGATTTGGCGCTTGACTGCGTAGCCCAACGCCTACAGGACAATCCTTTTGATATCCCCGCGCAGCATGTTATAGAACTGCTCAAATTCTGCCTTCAAACCTATTGCAAATTTGACAATAAGTACTTTACGTAAACAGGCACGCACGCACAGGGCAGATAGCTCACAGACTGAGCCTATCAAAAAGGCCATGGGCAATCGATCTAACCAAGTCCACCAGTCTTGCAGCCCGGCATCATCTATCAGTGCAGATCTACACAGGAGTAGGCGCATGCCGAATTACCATCTCTTACCACTCATATTGACCTTGTTTGCACCGATAAGCGAATAGATCGGTGTGGGTTTCTACTTTATCAAAAAGAATGTTGAATAGCTGAGCTCAATTTCGATGTAATGCTTACTACTCATCCAGTAGAACCCGTCTGTGCACAATGAACACTGAGTTCGCGTGCTTGTGATTCTGGTCCGGTGTTTGTCGGGGTTACGATCGAAGAAGAAGACGGGAAGGCGATCGCTGGGACCAATGGTTTATTTATCCGACATTTCGAACTTTCACGCGAGCCCATCATCAAGGAATGAAAAAACTGTACAGCTCGTCGTGTATTTAGCTGACCTCTGCCGGGGGTGACCTATAGCTGCGCAGTTGCTTTGTTCACGCAGTGCTTGATTGGCGATTTGCAGATCGATATGTCGATTAATCGCGTCCTCAGTTGAGTGCCACGCTTCCTGCAGCAGGCGCGCAACTCGGTTGTCTGACTGTCCTAGTATTCTCACGCTCCCAAAGTCAAAAGCGTGTCATGGCGAGGAGGCGTGGGCGGCTAACAAAGAGAGTTTATCCTTCCGTCTCACGGCCAATTCATGCTCATGCAATCTCGTGCCGACCTGGACCGCGCGTTTTCTCTATCATTCGGAATACATTCGGGCGCGAAGCGCTTAGACCAGCGCGTCGGTGGGAATCCTTCTCCTGTCGACAAGCTTCAACGTACGCTCAACTGAGGTTCCTGCACAGGTGCCTAGACTCAAACAATCTGCCGAGATGCCCTTCGTATAAATCGCCCGTCAACACCGAACTAGGTAGGCGAACAGTCTTACAACGCGGACGCAGAATGATTCGGGTTTTAATCCAGGATTGTCACCTCCGACTAAGCAAGTACAAAGTAGCATTTGAGGATGAACAAGCGAAGTGCTCAAGGATCCTTGGAGAACCGCTGACAAATGATCTTCATCGCAGCATTTCTCTCAGTGCCAGGCGCATTCGCGATGTACGTGAATCAAAACTGAAGCAGAAGTTGACCACACTGAGCGAAAAGAATGCCAGCCTCTGCCATGATAATGTTGTGCACAACCTATCTTCCAAACAACTGACAGCAGAGCAGATAAAAGTCCTGAGCCATGATGCCTGCTTCAATACGACGGATGCCCAACCTGTTGACTTCATCGCAGCTGCGGAATCTGTCATTCGTGAAGCTCCAATCACTGAGGAAAACAGAAATCTGCTACGACAGCAAATATCCTCCAGACTCATGTCCCACAAGAAACGCAATATGCTCTCGAAAGCAGAAAACGAAGCACTTCGGACTCTGAAGGTCGACAAAAGCATTGTCATACTCCCGGCCGATAAAGGACGATCGACGGTCGTACTGAACAAGGAGGACTACGTCAACAAAGTCGAGGCCGTGAGCAATTATCACGGTGACAGTGAGCCAGTTTGCCGAGCGATCATCACACCAGCATCGAGCACGGATGACGAAATCGCGGCAATTAACAACTCGGACTCGGACCGCCAAGCCACCGCCGCATCAATTACGACCCCAGCGGCGATTGTGAGAACTGTTAATTGCAGTGCGCATACGGTCCCACGGCAGCCACGTGCTATAAATACTGCACTCCTGGTGCCACCTTCACCTCTATCTGCTAATGTCTCTGATGATGGATTCGAGTGAGAATCCGAAACGTCAGGCAAATAAACTTCTTGTTCCAGTGGTCGCATCTTCATCTTCTGAACTGCTACCTGGGACTCGCCTGTTCGCTTCTATCAGCAAAGTCGAGGCCCTTTTGGGCGATAAAACTGCCTACATTCCTTGTGAAGGTGATATGACGAAGACTTTAATGAGCAAAATCAACAAGGACCTGGAAAGTCTTCGGAAGTTAAAAGCGATTACACAGCTTGACTGGCAGCGGATAAAACCAAAGGATTCCGCGATCGCGAGATTCTATGGTCTACCCAAGGTCCACAAACCAGGAACCCCCCTACGACCGATCGTTTCTCTAAGAGGCACACCAACATTTGGCCTGGCTAAGTGGCTGTTCCAGCGTCTGAAATTCCTAACCCAAGGTCCTGAAACTACCATCCACTCAGCAGAACGATTCCTTGAGAAACTGCAAGGTATTCAACTTACAGATGACGAAGTGATGGTATCTTTCGACGTGATATCACTCTTCACTTTCATCCCACAACATCTCGCGGTTGAAACTGTGCAAACCTTGTAAGAGCAACGTTATAACGAGACGGAAAACAAACTTAAGATAAAACACCTTGTCGATCTCCTGAAACACCGCTTGAAGACCTTCTTCATCTTCAATGGAGCCACGTACGAAAAAGTTAAAGGCACACCGATGGGGTCGCCGTTATCCAGCTTGATTGCTGAGGCAGTGTTACAGCGACTGGAGGCACTGGCTTTTGACCACTACCGACCGCGATTGTGGGTACGGTATATTGATGACACATTTGCCATCATCAGTCGGGACAGGATGTGGGAATTCACGCAGCATCTGAACTCGATCTTCCCAGATATCCAGTTCACGATGGAGGAGAAAAAAGATTGCCAGTTGCCGTTCCTCGACGTACTAGTCCAGAGAAAAGGCGATGGGGGACTAAAAACAACAGTTTACCGAAAGGCGACAAATACCTCTCGTATTCTGAGTTTTCTCAGCAACCACCCCCTTTCGCACAAACGCAGCTGCGTAAGAACACTCTACCGACGGGTAGAAACCCACTGCACAGAGCCAGCCGACAAGAAGGCCGAGGCCCAGTTCCGGAGGTAACTCTTCACCATGAACGGCTACCCTGGGAATTTCGTCGAAAAGTGCAGGCGAGAAACTCGGGGAAGAAAATCGAAGGGGCAGCCGAAACCGAAGTGCTGGTGCGCAGTGCCGTACGTAGCTGGTTTGTCAGAAGAATTCGACAGACCCGTGAGCGAATTTGGGATGGGCGTCGCGCACAGACCTGAAGCCACAATCTGAAGGCAACTCATGCAGCCCAAGGATCCGATTCCCATAAATCAGAAATCGGGGGTCATTTACCGGATAGACTGCAATTGCGGTCAGGCCAGTTATGTTGGTGAAACCAGAAAACAGGTCCGCACGAGATTGCATGAGCATGAATTGGCCGTGAGACGGAAGGATAAACTCTCTTTGTTAGCCGCCCACGCCTCCTCGCCATGACACGCTTTTGACTTTGGGAGCGTGAGAATACTAGGACAGTCAGACAACCGAGTTGCGCGCCTGCTGCAGGAAGCGTGGCACTCAACTGAGGACGCGATTAATCGACATATCGATCTGCAAATCGCCAATCAAGCACTGCGTGAACAAAGCAACTGCGCAGCTATAGGTCACCCCCGGCAGAGGTCAGCTAAATACACGACGAGCTGTACAGTTTTTTCATTCCTTGATGATGGGCTCGCGTGAAAGTTCGAAATGTCGGATAAATAAACCATTGGTCCCAGCGATCGCAGGCGAGGGTTTAAGTATGAGCCCCAAGTCACAACGAAACGAGTATGTTCCGTCACCTAATCGGCGTGAGCCCACTGTCATAATTAATATTGTCGATCACAACCGACAGGACAACGGGCCCGTGGCTCAATGGTAGAGCGCCAAACTCCATGACCAAAGATCCCGGGTTCGAATCTCAAGTGATCCAAACTTGGGGTTGGGTATGACTGGCTGATGACGGCTAATAAGCCAAAAATGGCCATTCCGGTCTCCCTTGTCTTTGTCGGTTCCATCTCATATATATATATATATATATATATATATATATATATATATATATATATATCAGGTGAATAATTTCAGAAATTAATCATTGCAGGACTTGGAGTTAAATCTCCGGGACATGACTTTTTAGGGTCAGAACCGAAATTTCAATGAACATTTGAGTCGAAGACAATCAACTACTGTGGAATAACCACGGAATGCCCATTCTACAAACAAGTAGTTATACGAGTAGTATGAATTCCATATGGTAAAGGTATTATACCGTACTCCCGACATAGATACTTGCTAAAAGCCCAGACACGTGTTTCGCCGATATTCTGCCGCTACGTGACGCAGCTGCGAGGCGTTCGGCTCTTCAGTGGGACCCCCAGCGTTCTCTAGCCGTTTCTGGTATATGAACTCCAGAGAATAATCAGGTGAATAATTTCAGAAAGTAATCAGTGCAGGACTTGGAGTTAAATCTCCGGGACATGACTTTTTAGGGTCAGAACCGAAATTTCAATGAGCATTTGAGTCGAAGACAATCAACTACTGTGGAATAACCACGTAATGCGCATTCTACAAACAAGTAGTACTACGAGTAGTATGAATTCGTAACACGTGTCTGGGTTTTTACATGTATCTATGTCGGGAGTACGGTATAATACCTTTACCATATGGAATTCATACTACTCGTATAACTACTTGTTTGTAGAATGGCATTCCGTGGTTATTCCACAGTAGTTGATTGTCTTCGACTCAAATGTTCATTGAAATTTCGGTTCTGACCCTAAAAAGTCATGTCCCGGAGATTTTACTCCAAGTCCTGCACTGATTACTTTCTGAAATTATTCACCTGATTATTCTCTGGAGTTCATATACCAGAAACGGCTAGAGAACGCTGGGGGTCCCACTGAAGAGCCGAACCCCTCGCAGCTGTGTCACGCAGCGGCAGAATATCGGCGAAACACGTGTCTGGGCTTTTAGCATGTATCTATGTCGGGTGTACGGTATAATGCCTTTACCATATGGAATTCATACTACTCGTATAACTACTTGTTTGCAGAATGGGCATTCCGTGGTTATTCCACAGTAGTTGATTGTCTTCGACTCAAATGTTCATTGAAATTTCGGTTCTGACCCTAAAAAGTCATGTCCCGGAGATTTAACTCCAAGTCCTGCAATGATTAATTTCTGAAATTATTCACCTGATATATATATATATATATGAGATGGAACCGACAAAGACAAGGGAGACCGGAATGGCCATTTTTGGCTTATTAGCCGTCATCAGCCAGTCATACCCAACCCCAAGTTTGGATCACTTGAGATTCGAACCCGGGATCTTTGGTCATGGAGTTTGGCGCTCTACCATTGAGCCACGGGCCCGTTGTCCTGTCGGTTGTGATCGACAATATTAATTATGACAGTGGGCAAAGCGGAATGAGCATGTTCCATAACGTTATCGGCGAGCGCCCACTGTCATAATTAATATTCCCGATCACAACCGACAGGACAACGGGCCCGTGGCTTAATGGTAGAGCGTCAAACTCCATAACCAAAGATCCCGGGTTCGAATCTCAAGTGATCCACACTTGGGGTTGGGTATGACTGGCTGATGACGGCTAATAAGCCAGAAATGGCCATTCCGGTCTCCCTTGTCTTTGTCGGTATCATCTCATATATATATATATATATATATAATTTTAGGGGGCGCTCACCGATCGTTCATACGGAACTCACTCGTTCCGTTGTGCCTTATGGACTCTCTCTCGAGCCCAACCAGCAGCCGCACAGCGGCGCATGATATATAGGCACACTTCGGGCTTGGGTATGGCTGGGTGACGACGGCTAATAAGCCAGAAATGGCCATTCCAGTCTCCCTTGTCTTTGTCGGTAATATCATTCTGCATATATATATATATATATATAGTACCACTCAAAAGATTCCCTGTTTACAACAGAGCTAATTGGTTGTACAAGCATCTGAAGCAGTTAATCCACGGGACTCGCCACAGAATTAAGAGCTCTCACGAATTCCTCGACCGGATCGAAGACCTCAAATTATGCACTGATAAATGCCTCCTGTCTTTTGACGTCGTTGCCTTATTTTCCTTTATACTACACTTTTTGGCAATTGACTGCGTAACCCAACGCCTACAGGACAATCCTGTTGATATCCCCCCGCAGCACGTTATAGCACTGCTCGAGCTCTGCTCTCAGAACTATTGTAAATTCGACAATGAGTACTACCAACAGGTGAAGAGAACCCCGATAGGCTCACCAATATCGGGAATACTCGCCAAGCTAATATAACAGCGACTATAAGAAGGGGTTTTTCAAACTCTAAACCCGAATATGTAGCACCACTATGTCGACGACACCTTTGTCGTGATAAAAAACCGCGAAGTCGAAAGGCCACATCAGAGGCTGGCTGATGTCTTTCCAGCCATACAATTTAGTCGTGAAGAGGCAGTAGGAAACAGTCTGTCGTTTCTGGACGCGAAATTAAAGAAGCTGGACGATGGAAGCCTTGCAACGTGCGTCCATAGGAAATGATCTGATTTTGAGATTATTCTCGATTATGGGAGCGGTCATTCTGCGGCTCACGAAAGGAGCTGCGTCCGAACACTCCCACCGGCCCTATCGCTATCGCGGCAATGATTATTTCCTGAAAAAAGAACTAGCCTATCTGTATCGGTTGTTTCTATTTAACGGATATCCGATCAGTTTTGTGAAGAACTGCCTCAAGCGCCAGGCGTAACCCCAAGGCCCCTCCTCAAACGGAGAAATCGTGGCACGGAAATTCTTCTCCCTACCCTCTATTCAAGGGAAATGATCGTCCGGAAGCTAGATCGGTTTGGTGTCCGCGTTGCCCACAAGCCAGCATCCTCGCTGCGCACAGCCTCAACTCGAGTAAAGAATCCTATCTCCAAAGAGGAACAGACTAACGTTATCTATCGCATCCCGTGTGCCAATTGTCGCTGCGTATACGTTGATCATACAGGACGACGCCTGGGAACTCGAATTAATGAAAACAAACTAGCTCTTCGTCGTCGTGACCACTGTCTCTCGTGTTTGCGCACGCCCTCCAGTGCGATCACCGTTTTAATTGGGATACCACCGAGGCCATCGCCACGGCCAACACAAAACGGGCGAGTGAATTCCTGTAGGCATACTACTCTAACGCTGACAGTATCAACCGCCACGTTGACCTAGATGTCCATCATGACGGCCTACGATCACGGCTCACTGAGCCGTGTCCCATGCCGCATCAACAGCAGCTAATCTAGCCGCCCGCAGTTCCACCAACCTACCATTCTTCCTTCCCAGCCAACACCGGGAACCGTATATGCTCTCTTCTCCCCGCTCACCTCATCCCGGTTCAAAACCCACCGTGACCCTCTGCCCACATCACCACCCCCACATGCCAATGCTCCGCCTGCCAATGCTCCGCCTGCCAATGCCTGTCCAGTCGCGCCGACAAGCCCAGTGTGACTATCTTACTTTCTACTTTATCTTTAAAAGACAATTCGGCCAGCATACGCAAGCTTTTGCTAAATTCTCATCAGGCCTATCCATTTGCATTGTTATCGAAATGATTAAAGGGAAAGTACGGGCAAGCAGAAGTTATTCTGTAGCAGAGGTTTGACGAGAGGGTCTGGGTGGGTGAGGTGAAAAACAAGATTACGGTCAGTTTCAGGGGAGGTAAGGAGATGGTGGGCACTGGGACAGGTAATTATACGCAGCTGGCTGGCATGGGAGCTTTGGCCCATGGTTACTGTGGGGACTGTACGAAGTTCTTTTGTGCGCATGGTTTGCATGGCCTGATTGCAGCGGCCTCTGCAGTTGCCAACAGTCGCTGTCCAAGTGATTTTGGACAGCTTGTCGAGACCCTGTAAATCACTCGCGATGCGAGGATTGAGCTGTTGACGTTCTTTACCAGACCCTCCCCCAATCCCCAGCTACAGAATAAATGCTGTTTGCCCGCAGTTTACTTTTAATCATTTTGATAGCAATACAAATGTATAGGTCTGCTGAGGATTTATCGAAAGCCTAGGCATGCTCGCCGAGTTGTCTTTCGAATTCTTCAATGGGAATTTTCGCAACTCCTTTATGTTGATTTCGCCTGACGACGGGTTTCTGTCAACAACTACGAAATTCACCAGTACGACTTAACTTTCCAGAAGAACCTCTTCCTTTTTCATATATATGCATACATAGAGTCGGCGCCCTAACGGTCTGCGTTGATTCCACTCTAGCATACAACATTCGGTCCTTTTAAGAAGAAATAGGTGACACGTATGGGCTTGGTAATTAGTCGATCGGGATCACCTGAAGGTCGTTCCATGCGATTATGCTGTCATCGATCAATGTACATCTTTCTCACGGTTGCACGTCCAGTTTGTTGATTAGGGGGAAAAAGAGACTGTTTTTCGACCCGATGTAGTTCAACATACGTTGAGGGATTTTGTGTTTTCCTGCCATGTCCACTAATTGAAAGAAAACATCAAACTAACTTTAACAGATTATGCACAATGACGCATAAACGGGTCACTTACTGCTTTGAGCAGTACCCTTTTCACATCTGTCGAGTCTCAAAGAACCCATTTTTTTAATCTTAAGAGGCGTAAGATTTTTACTCTCATAGTTTGCGGGGAACTATGCGAACTAAATGGAATTAAATGATGCACTCACAGGGCTTGTCATTGTGCTTAATTCAACTACTCGCGGATTTTTCAAAAACATTACTTTTTAAAGAACATGAAAGTGAATTTAATGTGAAAATAACGCAGCAAATGCGGCAGAGAGATGCGCAAGACCGGCAAGAGTTATAAAAGCAGACGATCCTTCTCCATCTTCTGGACGTCCGCGTACTCTCCTCCCGAGGCAATCTTCTCTTCTTCAGACTTCCGGATAGCAATTTTATTCTGCAGGATTGTAATGAGATCGCGCCAGATCTTTACTTGGCGCAGATTGGCGGCCTCATTCTCATTGAGATGTTTTTGCTGTTCTCGCAGTGTCGCCATCTGAGATTCCAGATCAGAAATTTTCCTCAGGTAGATGTCCCTGGAGGCAAAGAAGGGAAGAGCCACGGGGTGACAACCCATAATTTTAAATTACCTTTGAAGAACATACACAGTGGGTAGCGGTCTGGTTGGTGAGTACAAAGATGACCGATATATTTATAAATCCGTTCTCGCGTTCACTCAGTTTGCCCGTTTTTTGGCGAGCGGAGCGAAAACTGTCCCTGTCTCTAGTTCGCAAATCTCTTCCGTTTCCGCTGCACAGGTCGGCTGTTGCCGGCGATTATGGGTTTGTCAAGTCATGAATACAAAATGCGGTCAAAGCGATGTAAAAACAAAGTTCCAGTCATTTACCAATCTACCGAGCGAGATTTAATTTTTTGAAGAGACCAAGACTTGAAACTCCACATTTTATGACTTGGATGCCCATAAGTCCGAGAAAAATGAAAGCTCTTCTTAAAATTCAGAGTGGTCAGGCGTTTGAGCGATTGCAGAATAACACGCAAAAATGCTGAGGAATTGCTGCATGTAATTTCAAAAGTAAAGAACGCCTCATTGACGCCATAATGCTCAGTTTGTACCAGGAAAACTTCTAAATGAATATAATATTCTTTGTCTGAATTATTTCAGTTCGAAACGAACGGCTATTTGAGTAACATATTTGGCCTTAAGTGTACTTCGGTGATGCTACATGGCAAAAGATTTTTTAAGAAGAAGTAAAAAAGTGGTTCTTTGCGATCATTTCAAACTTTACCTGCCAACAACTGATGAATGTCTGCTTTCCAAGATAAACGAGGAACTTCTATACGCATGAGTTTGCAGTTTAAATACCATCCCGAATTGTTTAATCGGGGCACAGGATCTGTGAGGCAGCCAAATTTATTTCCTGTTTTTAAACTTGACCATAGATGTGTATGTATTAATGTTTAACTTCCATAAAAAACCTAATTCCAAAATACTAGTTGCTGACTAACTTCATTACTACATTCCGTGCATGCTCATCCACATAATGATCTAAACGACCTTTTAGTATGAATAGGCCAAACCAGCCTATCCCAACAATGTTGGTCTGAACTAACAGATCATTTATCAAGAAAATACTTAACGGAAACTTTGAATACATCGTTATGATTATCGTAACTTTCACAGTCGCAAGTCTCCTTGAGTGTATTTGTGATTTATAGTACGCCCCGATATGTTAAGTAGTCGCAAGAGTTTGGATGGATAAACAGCATTTGCTTTACTTTAATATGCATTTTTTCCGACGATAAAAAGAACATTCAGTTTAGTCGGACATATAGTATTTTTTCTTCGTTCAGGTCACTGCATGCTTGTTATAATCAGGCATTTTTTTTAAAAAAAACGTTTTCTTCGAAAAACCAGCTAACAAAGAGATAAAATGAAATAATATAATTAAGTTGGATATATATGCAAGAAAAATCAGTGTTTGATTGCAGGTTTGTCAAGAATGCAGAAGTAACATGAGACATGGACCCTGCCTCATGTGAAAAGCAAGACATTAAATTCTTATTCTTCCAATAAATAAAGCCGAAAAGCCCAAAAAAACGGAGACTTGTCTGAATACATATGTCCTCGTAAGACCTGTTTTGTGAAACTTAAGACAGACTCTCGTCATTCTAACGCACAACAAATGAAAAGTATGAAGTTGTCGTGGGGGGTTATGGAAAACCGCACGATACGTGCACACCAATTCCACTGCATACTGCAATACTGTCCGCATGGTGGGATATCCGGCCACCCAAAATGAAAAAAAAAACAAATTTGCTGCATCCATGTCGGGATTCCAATTAAATGGGATCTAAGGTCGATCATATCTTGAACGAGGTAAGATTTGCGGACAATAAAAGATTTCATATAGAGCCTGAAACTGTCACTCCTTGTTGGAAAATACGAACAATAATCTCAGGAAGCCATCGCAAGGTTAAATTGAGTAGGGAGCGGGCAAGATTTTATTTCGTAGCCGTGCCTATTAGGGGTTAGGATAAGGGGAGAGATGTCGGGGTTAGGAATTAAAGCTAAAAGTATGGGTTAGGGATTGGAATTAGGTTTAAAGGATGGGGGTTGAGGTTAGGGGTTAGGCTGGGGCTTGTTTAATGCAGGTACGGCTACAAAATAAGATCCGACCCACGAGTGTGTGCCTTTATGAAAATATGAGCATTTTTTACATAAGGCCTACATTAACATGTTTTTGAATAAAAGTTAAGTATACACGTAAACTTCATACTTCGTATTATTACTTCCCTTTTACTGTCGACTTGAAGGCGTGAAAGATTTAAGACAGTGCCTAAGGAGTATGACAAATATACCATATCACAATTGCACTTCTCGGTCTCCAGAATACTTTTATGCATATAAATCCGACGTTAAGTGGCCAGGAATTCCAATGCTATATAGAACAGGAAAGTGACAGGTTTTTTGCTCAAACTTCCCTGTGTTTTTCCTTTGGTACTAAATGGTTCCGTGAGACAGTTTTCATTCACTATTTACGAGTGCCCGTGGATGGATGTTCAAGCAAATGTCGAGAGCTCCGAACGTGGTCTGCCTCACAGAATTGACAAAAATTAGCCAATTAGGTTGGGCTTGCGACAGGAAAGATGGCCGAAGTAATTCGGCGATCGACGCATTCACATGTACATGATAAGTCTTCTCCTAGCTCTGACATTATGCAGACAATAGGAACATGATTGTTTGAGTCCAGGGCGTACGTTTAGGGTGCTTCCAGATGGGGGAGGTTAGCAACGTTGCTACTGTGCCACGTCCAAGCAGGTGTTGTTGGGACCGATCATGTCTCACACATTCAGCGCGAGCGTTCAATCGGCTTATGCGGGTAGATCATGTAGAAATGGGTTTGAATCTGACAATGATGCTCCTTGGGAATCCAACCATGCGGTTTTGTTGTTTTACATTCGCCTCTTATCTTCGTTCACCTCGAACTTTGCAGACACGCTCCGTGGCAAGACTTCATAGAAGTCGAGCATGTACGAGTTTAATAAACATTAGTGTCAGTTATGACTGTCTTACCTGTTGCATTGGTATTGGTCTGCTTGTTCGTAGGAAACATCGCATTCGAACTCCTACACAAGATCCTCCGAGCGTAAGTGGAAAGAGCTGAGTTTTGTCACTAGTCTCTGACGTCGAAGCAGCCTGCGCCACAGAGAATCTCGGTCAGCATCACGGTCTTGAGGGTATTTAGTTTAATTTCAGTGATAATTCCGCTCGTTGACATTAGGAAATTTACAAAACTAGAAATTTGTCAAAAATTGAACTGTTCACTGTCAGTACGGTATTTGATCTGGATGACGTGTTATTCGTCCTCGTGGCCGTTGATTGACACGACATAATAAATGGGACCGAGAACGACCTAGTTTCGTGACATTGCCATACATAGGACATCTGAGGCAAATACGTCGCACGTCCCGTACATGCGTGTTATCATACAGTTATTTCACG